CAACTGTTCCTCGGAAACCCTATACAGGGTCACTATGAGTTGGAATCGACTCAACAGCACTTAACAACAAGGATATCACTTGAGGAACCTGGGTGTAGCACTGTTGGGTATGAACTGGGCTGCTAACCACAAGGTCAGCAGTTCAAATCCACTAGCCACTCCTCAGAAACTCTATATGGGGTTGCTATGAGTTGGAACCAACTCAACGGTATTTAACAAGAATAACATCCTCACTTACGGATGGAGTCCTGGATGTTGTAGGATAAGCACTGGATTGCTAACTTTAAGGTCAGCTGTTCAAATTCATCAGTCACTCCATGGAGAAAGGGAAGACTTTCTGCTTCTGTAATGATTTATAGCCTTGGAAACCCTGTACAGGGTTGCTGAGTTGGAATTAACTCGGTAGCAGTGGGTTTGATTTGGTCTGGTATCATTTAAGGAAGGAACCCTTGTTGCACAGTGGTTAAGTGCTTGGCTGCGAACTAAAAGGTTGGTGGTTCAAACCCACCCAGTGGGTCTGCAGAAGATAAACGTGGTGTTCTGCTTCCATGAAAACCCAATGACAGTTCTACTGTCACATGGAGTCACTGAGTTGGAAATGGACTCAATAGCACCCAACAACAACAATCACTTATGACACATTTTGTGCTTAGACTGTTGGTCAATGATTTCCCTTTCCTTCTTTTCTAAATGGAATTATGAGGAGTCCTGTCAGGAACTCTCTGGACCAAAGTGGAGACAGGAACAGAAAAACTAAACAACTTGGACTTGAACGACAGAGGCTCCAGGTCATTGCCTCCACATGCAGGATCTGAACATGACATTGAGTTCTCACACACACTGGGAAAACAATTGCATTTACATTTATAACTGAACCATAAATTTGTGGTTGTTAAGTGCTGTTGCCCTTTGGGTATTTTTTAGCAGTGCTTTAAGGAGCTCTGGTAGCATAGTGGTTACGAATCGGGCTGCTAATCTCAAGGTTGGAAGTTGGAAACTACCAGCTGTTCCGCGGGAGAAAGATGAGGTTTTCTGCTCCTGTAAAGATTTTCAGCCTTGGAAACCTTGTGCAGGGTCACTATGAGTCAGAACTTACTTGACGGTACTTAACAACAAGTGCTGTTGCATCAGTTCTGATTCATAGTGACCCTATATAGGAGCTTCTAAAAGTCTTTTTTGGGAGAAGAAAGCTGGTGGGCTGGAACCACCAATTTTGAGGTTCACAGTTCAGTGCTTATCCTATGGAGTCATTGTGCTCTCACAGGAGGAATAAATTTGGATGTAGGGAAAATAGTGTTTGTATGTTCTCAGCCACCAAAGGTTAGAATATAGTAGACAACTATTGTTTGTTTTCATTACTTCATTTCCAGGACTCACCCCTCTCCCGGTCACCATTCTACTTGGTTTTAGTGGGAACTGTCATATTCCTAAAATGTGACCCCATGTCTCTGGCTAATATTGTCTAAGGATGGGCACCAGACTTAAGCTAGGTAAATCAGTACGGTCCATAGGAATTTCAAAGAAAGAATACGCCCAATTTTCAAGCAAGCACGTGATAAGTATAGAGGGGATGGGGGTGGGCATCAACACTAGTAAGGTCTGCTCACCATGGAATAGAAAGCCATTCAAGATCAGAAGGACCACATTTACCTAAGGAAAACGTGCAAAAGGGTTGGGAAGGAGTGTGGAATGGAAAGAAAAATCACATGGAAGAATTGGGACAATTGTTGTTACAAGGAGGGGATTACAGTCATTGAAATGAAACAAAATGTATGATTTCTTGACTGTAAAACTGATGATCTGCTCTGTAAACCTTCACTCAATTCATAATAAAAAGTTTCAAAAAAAATTTTAAAAACAAGGAGAGAATATGTAACTTCTCAGAGTTTGTATTTGTCTCATCTAAAAGTTGGAACCTATCAACAATCATGTTTACTGACATATGGTTTGGGAACCAGAGAGATGATCTGTAGCAAGAAAAAAGTGACAAAACAGACCAGGGGGACAAGGAGAACAGAATTCTTGTGCTTGAAACCCTGATTATGTAGTGGACACCAAAGCTCAATACACTTCTAATGAATTAGCTTAGTATCTTAACATAAGAGATAATTTCCAAACTTGTTAATCAAAGGGCTAACTAATTAAAACATTAATTGAAAAACTTTCAAATTCCATTTAGTGACAATTTAGTAAGTGCTGAGTTCAGAGATGGGTAGGGTTGTTCTGGGCTAGCTTAGAGGAAGCACAGCTTTAAGTGAGCCTTAAAGAGTAAGGGACAGTTTAAGAGGCGAAGGGGAGGGGCAGTCTGGACCTGAACACTGTGTGAGCAGAGGTGGGGTAAAGTGGGTTCAGGAAGCAGTAAACTACCCTGGTTGACACAAACAGGACTGTGAGAAAGACAATGGCAAGTTGGTTAGGCCAGGCCAGATATAGGATGTGCCCCACCTCCCCCAAATTGGACAAATATTTTATTTGATCCTATACATTTTGAGAAACCACTGAATACTTTTCAGTAGGAAACTACTGTACTGAATGTGGTCTGAGAACAACTGTCCTTGAAAAATGAGTTGAGGGAAGGAAACCTGGTCAGATACACATTAAGAAGACATCAGGACAAAGCACTGAGGTGGAGAGGGATGGGTTGTGGTGGGGGAGGGTGTGGGGGGTGTCAGAGGACAAGAGTTCCCTGAGAGAACTTTCTAAAGGAAAAGTAAGAGCCTGAACTTAGTGACTACACAGAGGATTGAAGGAAGAACCAAGAAAACAGCTAAAGAGAGTAGTGGGCACAGTCAACAGCGGATAGGTTCTGATGGGGGCGGGGAGGGCCCTGAGGAGGTCAGAGTGTCTTCCCCTTATCACTCTTCTTATCACACTGCAGCATTCCAGGAATGCTGCCTGTTCAAACATTCTGCTCTGGGACTCACGCTATTCATTCACAGATCTTAGGGAGTCAGCAATTCTTTTTGGTTAATAATAATGGCTTGTTATAGTCCTCAAAGCACTTAAAAATTTTTAAAGAAAATCAAAGTAGAACAAAAAATGGAGTTTGAGTCTAAATGTGGTTAATCACGATCCTAGTTTGAACCAAGTCATGCAGAGATACAACTCTTTAGAGTAATGAGTCTAGCTGGTGAACTGCAGGGCAGACTTTCCTGAGTTCCTCAGATTAGTTGTATTCTACCTACCCTAAAATATTCCACTGCCTGGACCTCTGCTGAGGTCTGCCCTTGGTTCTCGCTTCCTTTTCTGTTCATCCTGAGCAAGCCTTTCTTTTCCTGGTGTAGTTATTTGCTTGCTGATGCCTCCAGCTATCTCTCTTTCCTGAGTCTAAGAAACTGCCTCCTAGATACTCCCACCTTAGTGGCCCACCCACACTCACCAGCCAACACTTCTCATCTTTCCTGCTTCTGGTTCTCTGGCTCTGAGAACAGCACCAGCATCCATTCAAGTGATCCAGGCCAGAATCTGTGCACCATCTTTGAGTGTCCCTTCCTCTTTGCTACCCAAGTATTCATGTTCTGTCAATTCTACCTCCTAAAGCCAATGGCATTTGGAGTCCTGGGGTGGCGCTGCAGGATAAACACTGGACTCCTAACACCAAGGTCAGCAGTTCAAACCCACCAGTTGCTATGAGTTGGCAACAACTCGATTTAACAAAGTCAATGCCACAGAACGGTGTCATGTAGTTTGGTGCTGATCTGTGATGAGTACACATTGAGTAAGTGTTTAGACATTTTTAAATCAATTTGGCAGACTAACTTTGTTTATTGTTATTGGTGGTGTTAAGTGCCGTGGAATCAGTTCTGACTCATAATGACCCTGTATAAGCTTTCAGAAGCTTTAAATCTTTTGCAGGAGCAGAAAGCCTCATCTTTCTCCTGAATTTTGCTTGTAGAATCTATTAATTTTTAAATGTGGACTTAGGTTTTATCTTTTTAAATTCTATTTTTCTAGTAATTCATTTACATTGTACTTTACAAAAGTCCTATTCTTACAGGGGTTGTGTTGGCACAGCAGTTAAGCACTTAGCTGCTAACCAGAAGATTGGTGGTTTGAACCCATCATCTGCTTCTCCGGAGAAAGATGTGGCAGTCTGATTCTATAAAGATTTATGGCTTGGAAACCCTAGAGGCAGTTCAACTGGGTTATAGTGTTGAGTCAGAATCAACTTGACAGCAATGAGTCTTATTGTCCCATATGAATTGGGGGAAAACTGTTATTATGAATCAGAACTGACTAGAAGGCACTTAAAACACCTTGGCTAGCAAACACTGTCCTAAACTTCTCTAGGGCCCATCAGCAGTCACTGCTAGATGCCCTGCCTAACGCAAAGCCTGGAGCACTTCCTAACCCTGCCTTCTACTCTTGTTCCCCTCAAATCTCTTCTGCACATGGCCAAGAGGCTAAAGGGCACATTTGGCCCCAGCCCAGCCTGCTGTTTCAGCGCTTCACGAGCCTATCCCTATGGAGAGTTTCCCAGCTCCTTACCAGGATCTGGTCCCTGCAGTCCTCCTTAGTCAATCTCGAGTCACTTCTCCCCTCCCCCAGCCCTCCATGCTGCACTTCCGGGAACACATCACAACCTCATAGTGTACATGCATGGACAGTCCCTTCTGTGCCTAGGGCACTCTTTCCCCATCTAGACTGGTGAATTACAAATTGTTCTCTGGGTTTTTAGCTTAGACGTCATTTTCTCCCATAAGCCTTTTTGAACAACTCAACTCAAAGGTTGGTTAGGAGCCCTTTTTCTGTGATTCAGTTGTAGTACCCAGTTATAGCATAGCACTTACCATGTTGTCTTACAACTGCTTGTTTAGTGCCCTATACCCTCAACAAAACTCTAAGTTACTTCAGGAGAAAGACAATGGGGGACCATGAGGGTGACTACCTCCTTAATTTTGCACAGTCATTCTGCTCAGGAATTATGTTTCTTAGAGCTGTGAGGAGCTGTGGGTGCGGGTTAGGGATGAAGACCCTCAGGACCTTCTTCTAAAGTCCTCTTATTTGTCCACTTCTCCCAGGATGAACCCTTCATACCAGTAGCCAAGAGCCAGTCCTGGATCCAGCCAGGATGTTGCCTGGAATGCCCCTAGGTCCTCCTGCCCACACAGCTGACCCTTTTGTACTGGCTGTGGGAATGTTGAGTGAAGTAAAATGTTGCTATAAGATCCTTTCTTACCACCACTAAATTTAATACAAACAACACACACACACACTTACCTGCTTTCAGTAAGAACCTTCTACCTTTTCCGGTCTCCCAAGATACAGGCCAGATTACTTTGAACTGCAAGGAAGGGTTTGTTAATAATCCTGGAGAGTGGTGTGAGAATTTTCCTTCAGCTTTGCCAGTATCCCTTCCTCTGCATCCTCACAGCGGTACTTTCAGGTTGGAGGGGCAGGTAATCTTCACTTCTCCTCCTCTCTCCCTCCTGTTCAGAGCTGCACCTTCAAACAGGTTGGGTTTGAATGCAACCTCAAAGAGGCCACTACCCAGCCAAGTCAAGTAAAAAGTGCAGTCCTACCTCTCCTGTTGGCAAGCAGGCAGCTGTTTACCTGGTTGCTGCTAAGCCTGGGACAAAAGTTCAGGTTGGGAAGATCTGACAGAGATAGCTTGAGGGGTGAGGGGAGACTCACCTCCCACTCTGAAGCCAGGAAGCCGGGGAGGTCAAACAACTGAAAATCAATACTGTGCAGACTAGGCAAACACAAACAGAACTCAGCTCCAGAAGTGAATCTTCCCCCCAGTGTCATGCTCTTTTCTAATCACTGGCTATTGATTTCTTCATTGTTTCTGAATTTTCCAGTGAGAACACCTCTAGTTCTCTGGGTTCCAGAAAGGCTGGGACTTGTACTTCTTTACAACATTTTTTTGGCCTACAAGACCCAGTCTGAAGGGTTACATTTTCTGTTCTATCATTTGTCTGGGGCTACCTGGGTGTGAACCACAAGGTCAGTGGTTCAAACTCTACTAGCTGTTCCTCGGAAACCGTGTACAGGGTCGCTATGAGTTGGAACCAACTCGATGGCACTTAACAACCACCATGTACTCAGAGTCCTGGTGTGGCACTGTAGGGTAAGCATTCAAACTCACCAGCTGCTCCTTGGAAACCATACAGGGTTGCTATGGGTCGGAACCAACATGATAGCACTTAATAACCACCACCACCACGTACTCAGCTGTTGGGGGCTGCCTGGTGATTTGGCACATTCCCTGCCCTCCAGAGTTACAACTGAGAGTGGTGGCTTGGAGAGCTAGGAAGGTTTCAGGAAGTGACAATTGATTTGGGGCTTGAAGGAAAGTTAAAGTGTTGAAGAGGAACAGAGAGGTAAAAATGAGACTCAGCTTGCTCTTCAAGTTGGATAAAGCCGAATGAGGCAGATTAAAGGTAGCCAATCATGTTGCATGCAGATGGTACAGGACCCAGGTCAACCAAGGATTTGGGAAGAGAGGAGCTATCAGTAAGGAACAGATTTTGGAGTCAGAATCTCAGGTTGAAAGCTCAGTACCCACCTTGTTAAGGATCTCACAATCTATGAAATTTAGTGCTTTCTTTCTCAATATTAGATGGGATCTCTATCTATAGGATTGCTATGAGGATTCAGTGAGGCAGTAAAGCAGAGTGGACTAAAGTTGGCTTTGGGGAGGCTACTGTTTGAGTCCTGGTGTAGGGCTGCTGTAGGGTAAGCACTAACCACAAGGCTAGTATTCAAACCCATCAGTTAGTTGCTCCTTGGAAACTGTATACTGGGTTGTTGAATCAGAACCCACGAAACAGCACTTAACATTTTTGAACTGGCTTGAATCTGTTTAAGGTGGCTGTGTAACCTTAAACACCTTACTCATCTATGAAGCAGGATACCTTCTTGGAGAGCACTTAGAACAGGAACAGTGCCTGGTACACAAAGATGTTCACCCAACGACAATTCTCCCTTTTTTTGATGGGCAATGGGAAGTTCAAAGGGCTCCGTTTATGATGGCAGCAAGTGGTCAGAAGAGGGGCAAGGAGATTGGAACCAGCTAGGCAAGAGATAAACTGAGCTCCTGCATACAGGAAGGGTTGTTAGCAGATTCTGTGAAGAATCAGTAGGGCTTGACAGCTGATAAAACGGGGCAGGAACAAATACCAGGTTTGGAGCATGAACTAGTAGAATAAAGATACACCACCACCTCAACCAGGTGCATAGAGAGTGGGTAAGGAGGAGAGGGTATGATGATGATGAAGAAAGTTTGGCTGTTGACATACTGAATTTTTTTTTAAAGTGGCAGTTTAAAAAGAGATGACTGTGTAAGTGGGGTCTTCAAAAAGTTCATGGAAAAATGGAATGAAAAGCTAATGGAATTATTCCACAAACTGTTTGAAGTCCCCTCATATAGAAATGGGACTCCTGGTGTGGTGCTGTATGATCAGCACTGGATTTTAAATCACAAGGTTGGCAGTTCAAACCTACCAGCTGCTTCTCAGAAAACCCTATACAGGGTCACTATGAGTTTGACCCAACTCAAAGGCACTTAACAACAACATATAGGAAAGAGTGGTGAACAAAGAAGCTAGTAGATCACATTTAAGTGGATGGTCTTAGGGGAAAAGAAGAGCACCTTAAGAAAGGATTTTAAAAACAATCAACAGGCAAGCTGTAGGAAAAAAGCTTGTAAGTAAAAATTTTAAGCCACCACAGTGATAAAAAATTCACTGGTGGCAGAAGAATATCTAGGTGGTCATGTCCAATAGGAATTTGGATACAGTGACCAGAATCTGTTAAGGAAGTCTGAATTGCAGAGACTAACAATTAAGGTTGCAGGTAAAAATGAAATCATCCAGAGGAAGAAGCATAAAGAAAAGCCCTGCATCTTAGAAACACTTAGGGAAGCAAGAAAGGTAACTATGGACGACAAGAATGAGAGCTGGGAGAGTGTGGCCCAGATGCACCATTTCAGACCAGTTTCTCAAGGTTGCGTTACCGTGAAATCTATATAGAGCACCTACGGGTCCAAGAAATGTTATCTGTAGTACTGCAAAGGTAAGAAAGCAACATTAGAGGAGGCTGGCAGTAGAGAAAATCAGTGGGAATTAAGTTGTAAGGACTTTGGATGGCTATACATTGGAATTGGTGCCACTTCATCAAAGAGTGAAGTCCGAATCATAGCAACCCCACATGACAGAGTAGAAATGCCCCATAAGGTTTTCTTGGCTGTCATCTTTAAGAGAGCAGAAAGACAGGTCTTTCTTCCAGTTTTTGCTGGAACCAAAAACTTTTTAGTAGCTGATTGCTTAACCACTGTGCCTCAGGACTCTGTGGATAGTGGCTCTGTCCAGGACTGGTTTTGACTCATAGCAACCTTATATAAAACACTGCCAGGTCCTGTGCCATCCTGAGCCTATTGCTGCTGTCACTGTGTCATCCCATCTCATTGGAGTTGGTCCTTTATTGCTGCCCATCACCTTTACCTAACATGTTGTCCTTCTCCGGAAACTGGTGCCTCCTGATATGTCCAAAGCATGAGAGATGAAGCCTTGCCATCCTGGCTTCTAAGAAACATCCTGATTGTACATCTTCCAACACAGATTTGTTTGTTCTTCTGGCAGTCCATGGTACTTTTAACATGCTTCTCCAACACTGTAACTCAAGTGCATCAATTCTTCTACAGTCTTCCTTATTCACTGTCCAACTTTAACATGCATATGAAGCTATTAAAAATATCATGGTTCGGGTCAGGCACACCTTAATCCTCAAACTGACACCTACACTCTTAGAACACTTTAAAGAGGTCTTGTGCATCATTTGATTTCTTGGCTGCTGCTTCTATGAGTGTTGATAGTGGATCCAAGCAAAATGAAATTTTTGTCAACTTCCATCTTTTCTCCATTTATCATGCTATTTATTGGTCTAATGGTAAGGATTTTTTTTTCCTCTACATTGAAGTGCAACCTGTACTGAAGGCCGTGGTCTTTGATCTTCATCAGTATTTGATCTTGCAGCTTTCAGCAAGCAAAGTTGTATCATCTGCATATTTCAGGTTGTAAATAAGTGTTATTTCAGTTCTGATACCATGTTCGTCTTTACATAATCCAGCTTCTCAGGTGTGCTCAGTATACAGATTAAGTATGGTGAAAGAATGCAACCCTAGTGCACACCTTTCCTAATTTAAAACTATTCAGTCTTCCCTTGTTCTGTTTGAATGATTGGCTGTTGGTCTATGTATGTACACGTTCTTCTTGAGTCTGAGGAACCTGCACATAGACATAGTGTTCCAGAACTCAATTCTGCAATGTTGTCTAAAGCTTGTCATGACCCACACAGTGGAAAGCCTTTGCATAATCAATAAAGCAAAGGTAAACATCTTTCTGGCATTCTCTGCTTTCAGTCAAGTTCCATCTGATGTCAGCAATATCATCTCTCATTACACATCTCTTCTGAATATGGCTTGAGCCTCTGGCAGTACCCAACAATGTACTGTTCCCAACAGTGTTCACTTAATGTACTGTTGCAGTTGATTTTGAATTACCCTTAGCAAAAATTTTCTTGCACGTGATATTCATGATATTGTCTGATAATTTCTCCATTCTGTTGAGTCACCTCTTTCCCACCTGAATTTAGAAATCATCTCAACCAGATCTGATGCATTAGACAATGAATGAAGACCAGAAGAGTTTACAGAAAGAAAACAAAAAGGTCATTAAGAAGGAAAAGACCAAAATGGATGTCGGAAGAGACTGAAACTTGCTTGCTATCATAGAGGTGTTAAAGTAAGAAGTTGGGCAGAAAATTTCAAAGGGCAGCTTGAGAAGACAAAGTCAAATATACTGAAATGTGCAAAGACTTGGAGTTAGGAAGCTAAAAGGAGAAAATACACCCAGCATTTCTCAAGCTGAATGACCTGAAGAAAAAATTCAAGCCTCGACTTGAAATACTGAAGGATTCTATGAGCATGGATGGTGGTAGAGAGACAAAAAATTAGGTAGATCCTGTTTTAAGAAAGCTCTTTTACCACTTCACATTGATGAAAGCTTAGTACCTGTTTTCAAAAACCAAAATAAGTTTGCAAGTTTGCTTTTACAAAACAAAAAGGAAGAAAGTTAAAATGAGCATTTATTGTTCATTTTGCAACAAGTCATGTATTGTTGTTAAGTGCTGCTGGGTCAGTTCCGACCCATAGTGACCCTGTATAGCATTTCCACGGAGCAGCTAGTGAGCCTGAACCAGTGACCTTGCAATTCAAATAACTTTGCGTATGATGCATTATTAGCCCACAGCGCCACCCCAGGACTCCATGGGTTAATGCACTGAACTGTAAAGTTGGTTTGAACCACAAAGTCAGTGGTTCAAGTTCACTAGTCACTCCTTGGAAACCCTCACCAGGATCATTATGGGTCGGGACTCAGACATCTTAACAGCAGTTTCCTATTCATTTTACACCATTTATAGGAATGCTCTACTTTCAGACATCAGGGGAAACTTTATGTCCTATTTAGGTAGTGGAAACTGAAGCAACATTCACTAATAGGGTATAATCCAATGAACAGATAATCATTGATGGGATTTAGTCATAAGGAAGATAGGAATGTATAGAATCCAAAGCACAGGTGAAAAAGCCAATTTGGCAAGAAAAGCATTACAGAAAGAAAGAAAAAAAAACTAGATGATTTTGAAAACATCAGAGGACTGTGAGGTATTTTCCCTCTTTAAATAATGAGTTTAAAAAATCCTAATAACCAGGCTACACCCTAGACCAATTAACACAGCCTCTTAGGAATTGGGGCCTAGGCATCTGGGTTCCTTTAAGGGAAAGGCCAAACAGGCAGCTTGGAGTGATAACTACTGGCTTAGAAGCAGTGCAGTGTCAAGCATGACGGCGCTGATGTTTGCTGAAGAAACAGATTGCAACAGCAGTGGGAACTGTCGCAGTGAAACACTGAAGCTTGTTAGGATCATCAAGGACCCTGCACATGGCTGGGTGGCAAGATGTGGACTAGGACTGGTTTGTTGGGTTTAGATTCCCAAAACACTAGACACTTTAGATAAAATAGGGAAAAGTGAAATGGGTAATGAGAGGTGAGGAGGGTGGGAGAACCAGATGCAGGTGTCAAGGAGGGTGAATCAGTGGCCCTGGGGTAGAGGCGGGGAGTCAGGAATGAGATTTCTCAATTTTGCAGCCGTAGGATTGGAATAGATGAGCATTCTTTAGTTTCTTTATGTTAACCCGTGAGCATGCTGTGGTTCACAGCCCAATGTTGATCCTACAGTGCCATACCAGGAATCCCCTAGTGTGCCTAAGAATACCGAGAGCAGCCCTGGACTTACTAACTAAAATTACAGCAGTTCAAACCCACCAGCTTCTTTCTACATGAGATAAAGATGAGAATTCCTGTTCTCATCAAAACTGACAGTGTTGTAACTCCAGTTCAGTGGCTGAGTTGGAACAAACTTGATGGCAGTGGGTTTGGTTTTGATGTAGGATTCCTGGGCTTGGCTGCTAAGGAAAGTTTGAAGTCTATGTGGCAGTTAACTTCAGAAAAGTTAGCTATTGAAAAACCTTATGGGACATAAATCTGACACACGCGTCAGCGTGAGCTGGGATTAACTAGATAATTGGTTATTGCTAGGTGTCGTTAAGTCAGTTCTGACTCATAGCATTTCTGAGGCTGTACAGTACATCTTTATGAGTAGAAAGCTTCATCTTTCTCCTGCAGAAAGGGTGGTGAATTAAAAAAGCTGACCTTGCAGTAAGCAGCCCAATGTGTAACCCATTATGCCACCAGGGTTACTGGTTAGGGCCAGTGATATTCCTATATGTTCATCTTCAAACTTTGTTATTAGGACTACCATAAACACTCATTAAAAGATTGCTGGGCTGGGACTCGAGGATGAGTATTTCCAGCAAGTTCCCAGAAGATGCTTATGCTACAGGTCTGGAGACCACACTTTGAGAAATACCTACTGGTCATGTGCTTTGGATTCCAATCTCTTTATTTTGCTTAGGAGATAAGAGGTAGGAGGGAACGGCATGTCATCACTTCACAAGGCCCAGTTCTTGCAGAAGGTCTCCAAGAAATGCATCTCTAGTACCACACTGGAGATAATTGGGTTTCTGAAATAGGGCATTTTACTTTAGTTCAGCCTGGTAGAGTGGACCAAGGATGAACAAGAAGAATTCAAGCTAGTACATGAAGTCAGTGCAGGAGACTAGGTATAGATAGAGACTTCTGCACAGAAATAAGCATTGACATTTCAGTCCCCAAAATGCCCATTTGACTTACTGGCTTTCCACATTTAGTCTGTCCACTGAAGCCTCTCCAAATTAAGTGAGCTGAAAACACCAACACTCTCCCTTCCTGCTATGATTCAAGTGCAAAACCCCCAAATCAAACTTACTGTCATGGAGTCAAGTTGATCCTAGGAGTGTAACTGCTCCCTAGGGTTTCCAAGGCTATGAATTCTTTATGGACAAAACCGGCATTTTTTTTCCTGCACAGTGGCTGTTGGATTAGACCTTTTGGTTAGCAGTGCAGAACTTAACCCACAGCACCACAATGGGTTCCATAAAGCACAGAAAGGGGAATAAAAATAATCTTTCCTTAACTTACCTGTTAAATTGGTGAATAGTAGGCTCAGAAGATCCTAGGAAGCAATCAGATTTCCTAGCTAACCAGTGTACTTTTTATTAAGTTGCTTATAGCCTATCTAGTTCTCCTGTTTTTCCACATCTTGCTTTTAATATGTAATTTGAGCAAAGGAAGCTATTTGTTTCCTTTTGTATTCTTAGTGTTTAACACAGTGTTTTTGTTAGGTGCTGTGGACTCAGTTCAGTCATAATGACCCTGTGCAAAAGAAAACCTCACAGTTGGCATGTTTCAGCCCACTGTTACAGACACTGTGTCACACGTATCAATGAAGGTCTTCCTCTTTTTTGCTGATCCTTCCAAGCATGATGTCCTTCTTCAGGGACTGGTTTCTCCTGATGATGTGTCCGAAGTACGTGATTATTCACACCATCTTCACTTCTTAGGAGCATTCTAGCAGTACTTCTATCGCAAAATTTTTCTCTGGCACTCCATGGTATATTCAGTATTCTTGGACAGCAAATGCATCCACTTTTCTTGTCTTCCTTATTCATTGCACAGCTTTCACACGAACAGGAAGTGAATGAAACGACCATTGCTTGGGTCAGGCGCAACTTAGTCCTGAAAGTACATCTTTGCTTTGAAACACTTTGAAGAAGTCATTTCAAAGAGAGTTGCACAATGCAGTAATGTCCTTGGATTGCTTGGCTGTTGCTTCCAGGATTGATTGCAGATCCAAGTATAACGGAACCTTTGGTAACTTCTATTATGATGTTGCTTATTAGTCCAGTTGAGGATTTTTGCTTTATGTTGAGCTGTAATCCATACTGAAGGCTGTATTCTTTGAGCTTTATCAGTAAGTGCTTCAAAGTCCACTCACTTTAAGCAAGACTGTCATCTGCACATTGCAGGTTGTTAATGAGTATTCCTCTAAACTTGACGCCGGGTTGTCATATAGTTCTATAATTATTTGCTCAACATACAGATTAAGTAAGGTTTAAGGATACAACAATCGCTTTGCTTATTTAAAACCACATAATGTCCCCTTGTTCTGTTCCACATAAGCTCAGTAAATACTCTGGAATTCTTATTCTTCATAATCATCTATAGTTTGTTATGATCCACATATTCCTAACGTGTTTGTCATCAACAGAACAGTTAAATATATTGTTTTGGTATGCTCTTTCAGCAAAGATCCATCTGACAATAACAATGACATGCTCATTTCATGTCCTCTTCTGAATCTGTCTTGAATTTCTAGCAATTCCTTTTACGTGCACTGCTGCAACTATTTTTAAATATCTTCAGCAAAATTTTACACCTGTGATACAAATGATCCTTTTATGATTTTTGCATTCTTCAATTCACCTTTGTCATGCATTGTGGACCCCTCAAAATATGCAAATATGTGGTTTGGCAGTTATGTTAATGATGCAATCATTCTTAATCTGATGTAATGATCTTGTGTTTACATACCCATTTTATGTCAATGAACATCTAACCACTGCGGTTCCAATCCACCAATTGCTACTCAGGAGAAAGAGGTGGTTTTCTGCTTCTGTGAAGATTTACAGCCTTGGAAACCCTACACAAGGTTGCTATGAACTGAATCTGACACACATTAATGAGGCCAGATGCAATCTTCAGGATTAGGATGTATACTGAGTCAATTACTTTTGAGAAGTGAGAGATTAAACATGCAAGTGGAGCTCAGAAGGTCCTACTACCACTAAGAAGAAAGTAAGAGCCAGGAGTGGAGTGCATCCTTTGGACCTGGGGTCCCTGTACTGTAAAGGTCCTAGATCCAGAAGATCAATGACAAGATGAATGGAGCTCTTCAACGAAATGCTCTTCAACAAATGCTGAAAGATAGGGACCTTTCTCCAGAGCTAACGATGACAGGCTTCCCCTATAGTTGGCACTGCTAGCTATCTAAATTGTGAGGATAAATTTGTTTAAGGCATTCACTTGTGGTATTTCTGTTATAGCAGCCCTAGATGACTTAGATGATCTTTCTTTGGAATGGGCATAATTATGGACCTCTCCCAGGTGGCTGGTCAGGAAGCTGTCATCCAAATCTCTTGGCACAGACAGATAAGCACTTTCTGTCAGTATACCTTTGTGGCTATTCCACCAATTCCTAGAGTCTTGTTTCTGCTAATTCCTTCAATGCAGTTTGCACTTCTTCCTTCAATACCAACAATTCTTGATCATATGCTATCTCCTGATGTCTTTGATGTCATTAGTATTTGATGTCATTGTCATTAGTATTAGGCAGACAGTGGAACAGGTAATAAGTATTTACTGAAAACTTAACTGTATCACTTAGTCTTGATCCTGCTTTGGTGGCCACTCTCATAAGCCAGCCAGGCTGATCTTTGCTTCCCTATTGCTGACTCTATGCCTTCCAATGCCAAAACACTGGATACACGCCAAGCAACTGGCTCTGTACCTTTTTAAAATTCTGCCCAGCTTCAGCTGGCTAGACACAGAGCTACAACGTCCCCAAATCCAGGATGTTAGGAACGTGCTGTGCTTTTCCAAACCTGACAACGTCTAAAGGGTTTCTAAATTTATATGCATGTCATGGATGTACAAGGGGGTTGGGATTATAGCCAAATCTGGGGATTTCAGTTGTTTTCTTGGCTAGTATTGCAGTCCACCTTGTATATATATATTCTGTTGATAAAATTGCTGAAGGAGTGTACCCTGAAGCAGATTTGTTGTTAAGTGCAGTTGAGTTGTTCTCGACTCAGTGACCCTGTATAGGGTTTCTGAGGAGCTGATGGTTCAAACCGACATCGCAGTCCAGTGCATTAACTCACAGCGCCACAGCAGGACTCCAAATAGGAAGGCAGAAAAGCACTGGCTTACTTAGTCTTTTAGTTCCGACTTCCAGCCACCTGTATGTGGGCTCCAGGCTAGAGCTGCTCTATACTACCCTTCTTCATCTTTACCTCGTGTCCCTAAGTACACCCTCAATTCTGAAAGGTCAAAATTAATGACAGAACAGATACATACCATATTCTTAAAGCAAATACCTTTGCTGGGTAGAGTATTTTATCCCTGACTTTTCGGAAGTTATCTACAGACACTGGTCCCACTGCCCACCTTTGGTACACCTTTGGCCTTTGAGGGTTCTTGCTGAGGCTGAGTTGGTAAAGCGACGCTATTTCAGAAGATGCTACTGTGGTGTTGTCATTGGAACCTTTGGCCTGTTGACAGTTTGGCCGGAGGATGAAAGTGACACATGGACACACACACCACACACACACACCAGAACCATGCTATTTTAAGAACGTACTTTATACAAAATAACCAGTTCATATGGAAATAAATCTACAGACCTCCAAGGATCAAAAAGCTTTTTAAAAAGTTCTCTTAAAAAATTATCCAAACACACGATATCGAACTAACTATTGAGGTAAATGTCGCTCTCAGTGAAACAGGGAATCAGCAGACCACGACAAAATATACACAATATAAAAATAAATAGCATTCCCCTTTCCAGTACTGGCCAGGAAGGTTCACACGGCTGGTGCAGCAGGCTGTGTGCCGCAGGCTGGTGGAGACTCACTTGGGCCCCCAACCGCTGTGTGAAAGGCAGCAGTGAGGTGCCCGAGCCCCAGGAGGAGGAGGAGGAGGGGTCACATACAGCACACTGAACGGGGTCCAGCATTTCAATAATTTACTCAATATCCACACCCCTGTTCCCACCCAACCCACCCCTTTCAAAGCCACATGCAGGACAATCGGCTGGTGATCAGTTATTTCTACAGAAATGTTAAGCCAGTGCCCTGGTGCAGAGGGAGAGAAAGAGATAGGTAGAAAGGTCGACATAAGCTTCGGAGACAGCCCTTCTACATATCTGTTTAGTAAATGTCCACAGAGCATAGGATGACAAAACACACAGCCTGGAAACAAAGCTTGTTAATCACAGCGTAATTTGGGAGACAGGATACAGCAAACTCTGTTTTCACAAAGGGAAAGCAAGGCAAAATGCAGCATCCTAATAAGGCTGCAGGGTTTAGGAAAGAGTACAACCCACTGAAAAAGGAAAAGAGAAAAAGTAAGTCACAGCCAGTTTCTTGTTAGGCAGCAAGACTAACCATGTCCTTAGCTATTGGACAATACAGTGGGTCCAGGAATAAAAGCGTCCACACGTGGAGCCATGCTTCCAGGTATCCTTGCTTAGGCTGTGGTCCAGAGATGCTGAGATATGCATGCTAGAACCCTGCAGGACTGCAAAGTACATGCTCATTAATATACAGATCTGGCTTCTGCAATAAGGGTCTGTGAAGAATGTGGACAGTGGGTGAACTGACAAGACAGACAGACACCAAGGGGGCACTAACAGTAGAAATCCCTAAGCCTTTGATTCAACTCATGAAAGCAGAGGATCTCTGGAAGCATGTCAGGTTCTGACACCCCATGACAATTCTTAACTTGTGACTGCTGGGATAGGACTTCTTGTGAAATTTCAATTTTGGTCTCAAGAGTAGTATATTATTATAGATTTAAATTTCCATTAAAAAGAAAAAATGTAACTAAGTGGACTGAATGCTTGCTGTCAACATCTGCGGTGACCACAACCTTAGGATTTTCTGTTGGACCATCACATAATAAGCACTGAGGCCTAGGCTAGGAAGGTACCACCTGCTCTTACAACCGAGGCTTGATTGAACCAAAGGACACAAACCATTTTAATATATACAAGAGTTAGGATGAGCATGAAAAAGCATGCCTTTTGAGATCCTTCCTACCTGGGCTCAGAGAGAATAAAGCCACTGCCAACCACATGTTCATGTGTACTGCCAAAAGAACTAAGCCGACCTGCTGAAGGAGACAGAGGTGGAGTGGTTTGCTTTTATTGTTAAGGAGTGGGGTGGTAAAATTACATGAACAAGAATCTTGCATACGTTGTCCTGATTCTCCACATGCATCCTTAGCAATACATTTTAGTCAGAAGCTCCTGTTTTGTTTTGTTTTTTCCACCCCCAAATGAAAAGATTCTGAGTGAAGTACAAACAGTAAGGCCCTACTTTTTTTCTGAATCTTTCTCTTATGTCTTGGAGGGAAATCAGTTTGAACATATTAGCAACTCTAATAAAGCTGAGCCATGAGTGTTAAAACCAAATAGGTTGTGATCATGTGCCTAAATATCCATGGATCTCAACGAGCCCCTGTTCTGGGACCACTGAGAGCCAGCACACCGACAAAACGACAGTGACCTACAGTGTGTAATGTCCTTCTAGCCTGAGAGCAAACCTGTGCAGGGTAGCTTTACACACTACTTCTATTTATAATGTATCACACAGCCACCAACCATCTCCCTAGTGGAAACAGACAATGGCGGACGCACATCTCATCTGCTTAGGACACTTGGAAAAGAAGTGCTGGGAGAGGGAGAAAAGCTGAGAAAAGACAGACCCTGCACGTGGGATGAGTGGGTTAGTGGTTTCCAGCAGCTTGAGATCCTGTGTGGCTCCAGAGAGCTTCAAACAGGTCTGCACTTCAAAGACCAGTCAAGCTCAAGACACACCAGACGAGAGGAGGAAGCCAGAGTTCTGTAACACACAACCCAGATTCCCAATGGGGATGCAACGAAGCTGTTTTACTGTTGCTCCTGTTCACAGCATTATAATTTAATACAGTAGTTCAATTTCCTATTGCTCTTTCTTTATATGGTCTCCCTTCTGTACACAGCAAGAAGGGAGATGAAGTTATTGACTTCTTCCAATATTGTTCACAGATTCTCTCTAGAAACAGGTAATTGGGAGAGGGGACTGTAAGCGTAAGAAGAAAAAGTGACCTGGAGCAATGTGTATACCTGGCTATTCAAATACCATGAGCTCTGAAAAGGGTACAGATGAACCTAATTATTGCTGAGAGTCTACACCTACCCACCCCCTATAGTTCTTCAGCACATAGCACCCCCCAACAGCTTTAGCACCATGGTTAGTTACGGAGGAGTCATGTGCCTCTCAGTGGCAAAATGCAATGGGCTGGGACCAGGCCTAACCAGTCCCGAACGAGCCATATAGGCAAGGACCAGTTGGCGCTGCTGTCTCCCTGTTTTGTGTACAAACACAGAAACCAGAGTAATAAACATTCAACCATATTAGCATATACTAGGCTCACGGCAGACTGAGATTCCCACAAATACTCTGACCTGCTCTTCTGAAGGAGGAACGCAGACCTTTCTGAGACCAGATTACAGTAGTAGTATTAAAGGAAACATGGCCTGAAAAATCATCCCACTTGAAAACATTTTAAGATTAAAGTTTCCATAAGAAGAATATTAGTATTGGTGTGTGTTGCACCTCAAAGGCTTCTGGGTTGCCAACTCTCAATCCTACCTGAGTCCTAATTCCCGGCCCAGGTAAGAAGCACTCATTTCTCTATGCGATTTCCATTGCACTGGGGTTGCTGTCTTGGGTTCCATCTGTATAACATTAATGTTCTGCATTTTTCTATTTTTTCACCAAACAGCAAACATTTAGCAAACTTTAAACATGACAGTTCTGGGTTTCATCAAGGATTCTAGAACTGGAAGGAAGGGTTCTAATGGCCCCTTCTGCAGTTCAAATTTTATGGAAATAGGATAGATTTTTAATGGAAGCGTATCTACGATCCCAAAAACATCCTTAACAATATACTATTCTTTATTTTAAGAGCTAGAACTTCAGGACATTTTCATTAGATTTTTTTTTTTTTTTTTTTTTAATTTGTGGGAGATGAAAAAGTGTAAAATGGTATGGGCCCTAACTTTGGTGGCATCTCAGCTAAAATCAAACACAGAATGCTAGAGAGGGATAATTGAGCATCTTTCACTTCTAAAACTGCAGTAAAGTAACTTAATACTGTGAAAAGTGATTCCTATTACAGACACACAAATGATTTCCAAGGATTTGTTATTGACAGCTATTTTAAATCACCATGACTGGTTTTGACTATGACTCATTTAAAATGAATAAAAACTATATATATATGGAGAGATTCCTAAATTCAAACTGTAAATCTACAGAATATATTTTTCCTATTAAAAAACTGTGCAATATCCTTATTGATACTAACATATACAAAACCTGAGTAGTCACTTCCACAATGTGTGCCAGAAAGCTTCGTGTGGTGCTTCCTAGGCCATGGTCCTGGCAGGTCCACCACAAGATGACAATTCATCTTCTCAAAAGCAAAACACTCTAGTGATCCCAATTCCTGATAGGGTTTACAACTTATCTGGTAGGGCTTGTGGCAAAAATCAGGACTCACAGGAATTGAAGGGGCATGACTTTTTGAATCCCAGACTGGGACTACCAGAGTGAGAGCAGCCTGTCTTTGGGGGCGTGGCTTGTTATAGGTTACCTGCGGGCACTGTTTCTGAACTTATATGCTAATGGTTAAGGGGACAGGGTAACAGTTATGTCTTAGCTGGTTAGAAGGCCTTCCACTCTGAAAAGATGGTCAGCCACTAAGGAAAGACAGCGAGCGACATATGACAAGATGCAACCATTCCTATCCTCTTCTCTAGCTCTCCAAACATATTCAGTGTGACGTGATTGTAAACAGTTACGGATCACTCCAGTGCTGTGTGCCCACCACAGTTGGGATGCCCATTTTTTCCACTTCCCACCCACCTTTAGCCCACTTATGTACAATACATTCACCACCAACAACAAAAAGTAGCTTTAAAAGGCAACAGGAAAAATTCTGTAAACTGGACCCAGCTCCAAACACATTAATACTACGAGTAGTAAATTCTCTCTCCCTTTCCCAAATATATACCTGAGTTTAGCTGCTCATGAAAGTTTACAAAACACTACTCCATTCTTAAGTATGCCCCCCTTCCCCAAGTTTAAAATTATTTTCCCTGAACGAGAGTCTCAGGACTTGGAAAAGTCACCATTAATTCCAGGTTCACTTTTTCTTCTTGACTGTATACATTAGTTATGCAAGGTGACCCCTGATCCAGGATCATTGCATACTGTGTGTTAACTGCCTAAGGAGTGTGTTTCTAGGGCCTTGTAAATGGCTCCAGTTCAGGGACAGCAGAAAGTGATGCACTGAGGGTGGGGGGTGGGGATAGGGATAGAGATGAGTGAGGATCATTTCCCCAAATTCTCCACATTCCAGTCTTCATGTGCAGCTTTCCATTTTCTTGGGGGGTATTTTCCTCTTTAGACTAGCTCTGAGAGAAAATGAAACAAGATACTATGGTTAAAAAAAGAGACAAAACCCCCAAACCAAACCAACCAGAAAACCCATAATAAACTGTCCAGGTTCCTGTACACTTGAAAAGAGTGCTTTGTTATTAGCAAAAAACAAAACAAAACAAAAAAACCCCACAAAACAACAACACACATATATGTATTATTGTTAAATGGCATCACGATGATTCTGACTCATAGTGACCCTGTATAGAGTTTCAGAGGATTGGTTGGTGGGTATGAACCGCCAACCTTATAGTTCAAACCAACCTTAGGGTCTAGTACTTATCCTACAGTGCCCCAACAGTACATCTGTACAAAGACACGCACAAAACCTAAAATTTGCCATTTAAAACATTTTAAAGTGTACAATCCAGTTACATTAATGACATTTACAAAGTGCTACAACTATCACCTCTATTTAGTTCACAATTATTTTTAACACCCTCATAGGAAAACACTAAACCCTCAAAGCAGTTGCACCTCATTCCTACTGTCCCTGGCAACAACGACTCTACTTCTGTCTCTACAGGTATAAAACTTCTTGCATGTTAGGGAGCGATGGTGATAGCACTTACATCAGGTGGGTTGAGAAGAGGATTAAATGAGCAATCAGTATAGTGTCTGGCAAAGCAACGGCATTCAAAGGCCATTATATCCTTCTAAAACCTAACCGACTTATCTCTCCCACATGGAATAGGTGGAAAGGATATGGTGGACAAAGAATCATATCATAGGAAATGTAGTAGCCTGTTTTGGGGGAGGGGGGTAATGAGATTTAAGTAGCCCCCCTGCCCAAACTTGGTACTCATATATATAAGAAAAGGAAGAAGGGATGTGTAGAAACAAAGAAGCTAATTTCAAGATCTTATAAGGTAGCTCCTATTATGCCAGTGGCCCTTTCCCTTGGCTCTCTACAGGACATGAAGCCCTTTCCAGAACAGTTCCTGTATCCACAAGACTCATCCAAAGATTTTCCCAGAATAGCAGTAAGGTAAAATATATATTCCCAACCATCTGGAAGAATAAGAAGAGCTCTAATATTCTTTATGGCTTACCTGATCCAGAGGAAGTGTTGGGGGTTTATGCGGTGGTAGTTCTTCTTGCAATGTTGTTGATGCTGGGGTCTTTGGGAACGAGGACTGTGAATGAACAGGATGCACTTGCATTCTATAACCATAAAAAAGGAATGGTCAAGAATGAATGAAGGATGTATTAATTAGCAAGAACAAAAAGACATTTTCATCTGAAGTTCTACAGATATGTATGATTGGAATTCCAGAAAAGGGGTTAAAAAACAAAACAAAAAAACCACAGAATTGTAAAAAGAAATCTTTTGTAACATCATGAAAGATGAGAAAATAAGCATTCAAGAAGCTGAATGAACTCCAAACAGGATAGACCCCAGAAGAAACCATGAAGACATATTATAATCAAACTTTCTAAAACCAAAGACACCGAAAGAATCCTGAAAGCAGCTAAGGAAAATGAAAAGTCACAAACAGTAACTAAGACTAGACTGATTTCTCAGCGCAAACAAGATGACAATGGGATGACATATATACAACACTGAATGAAATTATCCCTCAAATATGACAGCAAAAAAAACACATTTCTAGATAAGTAGAAGCACATAATCTGAGAAGCTGGATTATATGAAGAAGAACATGGCCAAAGGATTGGAGGAAGACTCCTTAACAACCTTGCTTGCTAAAAGCAGAGAGGATTTAAAACACTTACTGATGAAAAGATCAAAGACCACAATCTTTGGTATGGGTTGAACCTCAATGTAAAGAAAACAAAAATTCTCACCACTTGACCAATAAATAACAAACATCATGATAAAAAGAGAAAAGACTGAATTTGTCCAAGACTTCATTTTGCCTGGATACACCATCAACACTTATGGAAGCAGCAGTCAAAATATCAAAGTACTACATTAGGCAAATGTGCTGCAAAAAAAAATTTTTTTAAGTAAGTTTTTATTGTGAGGTTTACATGGAAGAATATCAGTTTTACATTCATCCTATCATATTTCATTTCATTGCAATGATTACAGTCCTCTCCATGCATCATTAAACCAAAGGGTACATCTCACAGGCCTGTCCCACCCCAGCCCCTCTCCCTCCCTGAGTTCAGAGTCCCCAGCCGCTCCATCTGTCCACGTCATCATCTGTCTCCATCCCTGGCGTCTCTGCCTCTCTGGGTAGGGTCCTGCTCTTGGCTCTTCTCACTTGATGGTCCCAGGGACCTCTGCTCCTGGGCTGCAAAATCAATCTCTCCCCTCCTTTTGTCAAAAAACATTTACCTCTATATTTCCTACCCTCATAGTCAGTCCCAATGGCAATTACTCACTATTGTATCACAAGAGTCTTATGCCTATTTCCTTTTGCCAGCCCGGTCCCAACAGATTGGAAATCACTCAGTGGTGATGCTACTTTCCCCTACCCAGTCTGGAACTAGGCTCCCTCTTGAAAGCTTGTAAACGACTAGTCAATTCTTGCCTTTATAGACACCCCCATTTTGGGTAGCCACTGTCTTAAGTTGCCCATCCCTGTCAATCCTGTGTATTGAGGGGATGCAAGTGATCCTCTCTGTAAAGATTTGTTCCCTTTTTTGAGCTATTACATCCGTAAGTATAAGTTCATCAAATTGTAGCAGGTTACTCACTCCCCCTCCCTCTTCTTTCTTCTTCTAGTCGAGTTCTGATTATCCAACCATCAATGCCAGGTCAAGTGGGTACTATCTGCAAGTATGGGTGTTCTTGTGCATCTCCCCTCACTTCATATCAGCTGGATGCTTCACTCTCCGCTCTAGTCCTCTATGGCCATGTCACTGCCTCTGGGCCCAGGAGTCCCTGGGTCTGTGGTACTGTTGGGCACCCAGGTCTCCACTTGGATTCACAGGGTTCTATTGAATGTGGTTGGATTTACAAGACCTCTTTAAAGTGTTGAAGAACAAAGATGTCAGTTTGAGGACTAAGGTGTGTCTGACCCAAGCCATGGTATTTTCAGTTGCCTCACATGTAAGTGAAAGTTGGACAGTGAATAAGGAAAACCTTACAAGAAATGATGCATTTGTATTATGGTGTTGGAGAAGAATATTAAAGGTACCATGGACTGCCAGAAGAACAAACAAAGCCATGTTGTAGGAAGTACAGCCAGAATGGTCTTAGAAGCCAAGCTTGTCAGACTTTGTCTGAACAGTAACTGGAGAAGGACATCATGCTTGGTAAAGTGGAAGGACAGTGAAAAAGAGGAAGACCTCCAGTAAGATGGATTGGTACAGTAGAAATAACAATGGGTTCAAGCAGAGCAACAGTTGTGAGGTTGGTGCAGGATCAGGCAGTATTTCGTTCTGTTGTACAGAGTGTTGCTACGGGTTGGAACTGACTTGACAGCAATCGATAACAGATAAATAGAAATGAAAAGAATTTTAAAAACTAGATTGACCTAACAAAAATCCTTAAGGGGGTTTTTTGGACAGAGAACCAATAATAATAGTCAAGTACCTAAGATTAACATATGTGACAATATTATCCAGAACTCAACCTACATATACAAGTACCCAAAGTAAAACAACCAAACCTACAAGATTAAAAATAGGGAACCAGAGATACATTTGCAACAACAATGAAACCCACAAATTAAAAGGAGGAATAATATATTTACAGAACTTTCAAATGAAGAGGAAATGAAGTAGTTTTAAAGAAAATAAATATAAGCCAGACTGTAACCCTAAAACTAGACCAAGCCTTACTGCTTGTCCTACCCCTCTCACTAGCCCTAATCATATGGTAAGAGTATACAAAGCCCTAGGCCTAGCCATAGTCTTGACCAAAACCCTAAACCCCCATTACTACATTTCTAAAATAATTTTTAAGAGGACTGTTTGTAAATTAGTCAGCCATAACAATCAAATGTAAACCTTGTACCTCAGATCATAAAGAAATAAAACAAAAAAGAGATACATACTTTTAAGGCATTCTGGGGACAGCTGGGAAATTTAAATATAGTTGACATTAGATACTATGTATGTCAATCTCGTTGACCATGACATTGTGTAGTAGGATGTCCTAACGTATTGGGGTTGAAGACGTATGGTGTCTGAAACTTACTTTCTAACCAACAAAGAAATTTAATTTCTTAGAAACGAAGGCTAAGTGAATAAAAGTAAACAATAGATTGTTGTTGTTGTGGAGTGCTGTCGAGTTGTACTGACCCATAGCAACCCTGTAAAGGGTTTCTGAGGAGCAAACATGTGAGCTGGAACTGTCGACCTTGCAGGTCAAACAGCTTTGCAGTCTGGTGCATTAACCCACAGGGCCAACCAGGACTCCATACCATTAAGCAATTATGGCAAAATGTCAATAAACATGGTACTGGGAAGGGTTTGGTCGTATGCCAATAGAGATGGCAAAGGGGAGGAAGGGTTATCCCAGCTTTATGATCAGGCGGTATCTTTATCTAAAAATCTTTAATGTGCTATCAATTTGAAAAGTTTACTTTCTCCAACTCTGGATAAATCTGGTGTTGCATTCAAAGAAAGGAGAAGAGATGAGAGAGATACTAACAGTTAAATATCACAATTGATCTCATCTCTTGGAAATTGAGAGAGATCCCTTTCTCCATGGTCAAACTGTGGTTATGAAGTTCTGAATATCAAAATCTAACCAAATATTTAAATGCAAATTCCTTTTTATGAAGAAAAAAAATTTAAAAATCAAAGATAAAATCTGTTGGTAAGCCAAATTCAGTTCTACCATCTTTCCCAGATCAATGATGCTTTTCTTGGTCTCAGACCATTGGAATTTATCTTCATCGCTAAGGTCATTTTCTTTTTAGATTAATGTTCTGTTAAGTTCCATGGAGTTGGTTCTCACTCATAGGGTTTCCAAGGAGCAGCTGGTGAGTTTGAATCACCATCCTGTGGTCCAAACTGACCTTGCAGCTCAGTGCTGTATCTCAAAGATTAGTGCCCTTTTTTAAATTTCAGAAACAAATTAACACACAAATAAATCAATGCAATGCAATCTTACCCTGATGGTCTGTACATTTCTTGGAAAGGTCCCCTTAGTCCACTTGCAGTGCCAATTTGTTCCATCATTACAGCTTGAAAGTGACCCATGCCTTCCTCCTGGCAGCGGTAGATAGGGCCCTCTTGAGGGAGGCCATTAGGTTGGGCAGCCACTGGATGGTGAGGTGGGTGAGCAGCCACAGGGGAAGAATAAGCCCTGGGCTGGAAGTGGCTGGCTGGCCGCTGAGGTGTATAGGGAGACCCCGTTTGTAGCATCACACTATGGGGTGGAAAAGTAGACGAAGCAAAACCCATCCCTGAACTCAGAGGTGGAGGAGTCCCATACACATAATCGTTGGCTGACAATGAACTCTGTCGCTTGGTAGCTGCATTATGGTTGTCCAGGTCTAAAAACTCTTTGGGACTTTCTGGCCTCTCCATAGATTCATCCAGCTTCTCTTCCTCTGGACCAGGATTTTGCCCATCAGTTGGGAGGACCTTAGTAGCCACAGCATCCATCCGGGTTGGGGAAGTTAAGGCAGCATTGAGTGTCTCGCAGCCTTGTAGGCTGGTCATGGCATTTTTATCTGAGAAGAGGGGCCTTGGTGGGGGAGGTTGAGTAAAGGGGGTCCCACTTGGGCTTCCCTGGGGATGGAGAGGTCTCTGCCAGTCAGAAAAGCCCTGTGGACAAGTGTAATAAGGAGTTCTCTGATAGTGATGGTAAGGCGGCTGAGGTGGTGGCTGATAGGAATACCTCATTCCTTGGTGGGGACGATATCGGGGAAAGATGCCAGAATGAGGATTATTAGATTGAAAGCCCCGAGGTGGGAAATGCTGAGGATGTGACACTGTGGTTTTCCCTCCTACCACAGGGCCCAAACCTTGCAGCCCTGGACTGATGTGGTAATGTGCAGTTGAATTTGGATATTCCAGGCCTGACATGTAGAGGGGAGAAAACTGGTTGACAGGGCCTCCCATTAAACTGGGATCAGCGTTGGGAGGTGTAGTTGCACTTTGTCCTGCACATGGCATGGTTTCCTGCAACGCTTTGCCTCTGGGGCAGAGTGGCTTTTCTGAACCAAGACTCTTCCCCTCTGATCCACAAGGGGATGCTTCTCCCAACATTCCATTTTCAGGAACAGCCCCTCTTTCTGCCACAGTGGAGAGCTCTCTCCTACATCCGTGGGCAGCTGGGCTGGTGTAGCCGCTATCTGAGGGCCAGGTATTCTTGCCCTTGGTTGCCTTGCAGTGGTCTCCAGATTCAGAGGCGTCACTTTTGAGCTCTGGACCCTCTGTTTCCCTTTCATGGGGTGAGCTCTGCCTGTTACAGTCAGTCTGCAGGGGAGGTGTAGGGTGAGGTAGTTGTTTGAGGTACACCCCCTCTGTAGCACCAACGTTCGGTGGTTTCTCTTCATGACCAGGCAGTGGCTCTGCTGCAAGAAAAATGGAGAACAAAATAAATTGGTAGCTGAAATGACACTGATGGAGGTGGTAATCAAAGGAAGATGATAAGCAGTCAGATGAAGAAAAACAAAGGTTCAAGTGGATAGGTGACCTCTTAAGCCACAGCTAGAAATGTTTACAGAGTCCTTGAAAGGAGTTCTTTCACTTTCCTGTTCATGGGCCTGGAGGCAAGACCTACCACCTCTAAGCTGAGCCCAATGTTGGCCAAAGAATGGGCATATTCTTGACTTTATGTTCTTGTATTGTCCTGGTTAGACCAGTAAGCGGATGTGAGATATGAGATAATTCTTGGTTCATGCATGAAATGTAAGACAACAAGCTATGAAATTCCCAAAGTGAAATTCAGGTGGCGAAAACTCTGATTTCCACCTCAGCAGAATATGAACACTGTAGGAGCAGGGCTTTCCCAACTCTATGCTCAGCATCTGCAATATCTGACTATCTTAAAGAAACAAAATGTCAACAGCATAAAACTAACAAGATACTGAAGCTAATATATTAGACTCATACTCTTAATCACACCAAAATTCCTTATCTGACTATTGAAACAATCTATAGATAAGGTCTTCTTATATCTTATGTAGAAGGACAGAGTTGCTTCAAAGGATGTGTTTTAAAAAATATACCACACTGAGATCATGGTATCATATTAAGGATAAGAGTAAGGATTCATAAGTCTTTAAAGATCTACAAGGATCTCGAGCTAACTGTGAAATGGGCTTTAAAAATGAAAAGCATGAGTTGTGTAATGAAAACCAAAATCTGCACTTTTCATTATTTAGTCAACATAAAACATGGCAACCAGCAGACTTATCCAAGATTTCGCTAGTGGGATTATGCTAAAGCTCTGAAGTTCACACATCATTTGAAATCAGCTCTAGAAAATTCTAATAGGGTTGGTATGCACATACTAGGCCTTTCTGCTAAAGAAACAAAGTTTCAGTTCTAGGCCTATCATTAATTTTATGTAGGGTCTTCATATTTTATAAAAATTCAGGTGTATCCACTCATGTACTTGGAAATTATATGCAATACAAACTTGATGTCCCAGAAATAAGCCTTAATTACACAAAATGTTCTTTTCATGTCTCTCTTCCAGTTTAAAGTCTACTTTTAAAAGGTATTCTTGCTTTTAGAGTCGCTAGTCCTCACTATTCTTCATTCTTACAATAAAAGCAGGTATGATATGATTCCAAGCAATAAAAAGGACTGAAAACACATTTAATAACATTTTTAAGGCAATAATGTTTTATAGGCAGTATGAAGATTGGCAGCTCAATTCCACCAGCTGCTCCTTGGAAACTCTACAGAGTTGCTGTCAGAACGGACTCAAAGTCATTTAACAACAACTTGATGATACAGTGGTTAAGAGCAAGGATGGACATTGGATCTGGCTTATCTGGGTTCAAATCTCAGCTGGACCATTTACAAGCTGGGTGAATCATCTGATAGCTCTAAGCCTTAATTTGTCTATCTGTGAAACCATGAATAATAATTGCTATCTCCAAGTCTTGTTCAGAGCATTAAATGATTCAGTTGTTATTGTTAAGTGCAGTTGAGTTGGTTCTGACTCTGTATAGGATTTCCAAGGAGAGGCTGGTGGATTTGAAGTGCTGATCTTGCTGTTTGCAGTCCAGTGCTTATCCAGTCTAGTGCTATGTGGAAAAATGGAACGAGAGGATGATGGGATTTTTCCATGAACTTCTGGAAGCCCCCTTATATATGTAAAATTATCATAAAAGTATACAAGATGTTACATCAATGTAGGTCTTTGGACAGAAAGCAGTAGTATGGAAGGCCCAAACCTTGACAAGTGCAAGAAATTGGGCTGATAGCAGTTTACACTGGGTTTGATATTTTGTGTCAAGATCCCTCAAGTATTAACAGCTCACAAACTGGAGAAGTCAGATAAACGTGACAATGTAAATTACCTCTGTCATGCTCAGGCTCCTTTGTCTCACTGTGTTCCTGTGTCCTCCCAGAATTCCCCAAGGCAGTCTTGGGGGCTGGTACACTTACTGATGCTGCGTGAGCTAGTTGTGGAAAAGGGCCAGGTAAGTGGGGAGGAGTGGGCTGTCGGGGATGGTAAGGCACACCTGGTGGGCACACACGGGAGGAGAGCTGCTGCATAGCAATCATCTCAGGGCTGTCCATCATGGAGTCCCCTCCTTGGACCCCCCGCACAGCATGGGAGGGTGTTCCATACAGAGAAGGATGTGTTGGGGCTGGGGCCTGTAACCGATGTCCAGGAGATTTACAGGGTGGTCGCATAAACCCTGAAGAAGGAACTCCATGAGGTAGGAAGCTTGAGTGTTCAGCCCACTGATTTGGAGGGAGAGGCGGTCTCATCCCTCTGGAATCCATCGTATGACCCAGCGTGCGGGGCTGCTGAGAGTGTGCTGGCCCTAGCGTGGGCTTCTCATCTGGCCGCAGGGGCCCTGGGTTTGTAGCGCCATGGTTCCCGTTCCAGATGGCAGAGTGTACTCGATTCAGGTACTTGTATGATCGGTACATGTGACCAGGAGGGATTTCTGAGCTTTCTGGGAAATCTGAGGGTCGGGTTGGAACCCCACCATGCCGGGGAGGAATAAATCCTGGCTGGAATTGAGTCGAGGGATACAACCCTCCTTCCTGACTGGGGCTACTCATCTGCCCGAGCTGCAAAGACCCAGGATGTGATGGCACATTAGAAAGGTGTGTCAGACCCCCACACATTTGCTTCTCTTCAGGTGTTCCAAGCCTGGGTCCTCGGTGGTGGTTCATTCCAACGGGAGGCTGTAAAAAGAGAATAGAAGAGACCAGAGTTCACTAAACTCATACACTATGCCGGTCTTATAATGTGCTTCACATAGAAGGGCAGACTGTTCAGGACAGGGAATTGTGAATTATATTTTACATGGGCAGAGGCTGTTTCTCTGAACTTTTATCTCTAGGACCCACTGCACCTGCATTTTCTGAATAGCTGCTTACCTGCATGGCAAAGGGTTGATGCTGCTGAACAGGTTCTCCAGGGTGTGGTTCTGGGACTCTAGAGGAGGCATATAAATTGGCAGGATCTGATCCCTGGAGAGCACCAAATGTTCCTGGTATTGCTGGCCTCTGGAAGCCATTGGGAAAAGCAAAAAGGAAACAAAGAGAGGAAGTAGAGACATCAGGTAGAGAACTGGGACTTGTCTGCAGATGGAAACACAGCTAAAGTAACTATAACACAGACCACTAACAACGTCACACAATGACAAGAAAGGGAAGATTGCTAGCATATGGGCTTCTGTGGACCACGACTCGTCCCTGAGATACAGCAATTTCACTCTGTACAAGAGACCAGATCAAATCAGTGTTTCAATCTCTTCTTCATTAGGGTCCCTAAGGAGCCTTTCAGGTGCACAGTGGTTAAAGCACTTGACTGCTAATGAAAGGTAGGAGATTTGAACCAACTAGTCACTCCCTGAGAGTAAGATGTGGACGTCAGAGTCAACTGTACAGCAGTGGGTTTGTTTTCTGTTTGGATTAAGGAACCTTTCTGAAGTCCCTGGATGATCCAAAAGGTTCATGCGTTTGTCAGATACCCGAAAAGGTTGAGTCCACTCAGAGGTACCACAGAAGAAATGTCTAGAAATCTGCTTAGAAGAACTGTCGATGAAAACACTATGGAGCCCAGTTCTACTCTGAAACACAAGGGGCTGCTGTGACTCAGAACTGACTCAATGGCAACTGACTTAGTTTTGTTTCTTAAGGAGCCTTTCTAGCTGTATCTTCTTATAATTGTCCCCATCACCATGAAATGTTAACCCCACAGACAGACTTGTACTCTGTCTGTGTACTGTATATGTATCTGATATTTAAAGACGCCCACCCCCAGCAACCAATTTTTGTTCATGTTGAGAATTCACAGCTCAAACAATCTGTGAATTAAGAGAGGAAGATTTAAAATAAAAAAGAATAAAACAAGGGCAAATAGGGATGAGAAAACATCCAAATACAAAACACTGTTTTGGAAGAGCTAAATATAGAATTAGCCTCTACTTCCCTGTAAATTCAACAATTAAGGCGAACAGCAATAGTATCTATGCTTTTTCCTTACCATCTGGTTTAAAAGAGGTGCCTGATTGGGCATCCCACCATAATGCATGGAACGAGAGAAGCCTTGGCCATTGGACGTGCCCAGCTCCCCAGGTGTCTGTGTGGAACGGCTGCTCTGATCGTCCCCAGAAGAGGAAGCCCGGCGGCGAGTTGGGGGCAGTGACTTCCCTCCATTCTCCACGGGCTGCTGTTTCCTACCAGGCCCATCGGGTTCTCTAGAGCGGGTCCAAACATGGCTCGCACTGCTTCGTCCGGTGCGACTCCGTCTCTTCTCCCGCTTTTCATCCTCTCTGATCCAAAATTCTTCATCCGTGTCTCCATCCTCACCAGGAAAATGTTTCATCATTGCCCGATGGAAACACCTCTCTAAATTGTCAGACATCTTGGTATATTCTGTAGTCATAGGGAGATACAGAGAGTGGCCTGAATTTAAGACTGTTCTCTTACTAAGAATTGATAAAAGATGCTATTGGGGTAAGCCTTGGGTTTAACTCAACCCGAGGGCACATATTCTAGGACTATGGATACAAGCCAGGGTTTCTGTCCACAAGAAGTTCAAAGGAGTGCACCTATGACAAGGGGGACTAGTATTCCAAACCAGTAAAAATGAAATTCTTTAAAGTATCATCAACCTTCTAAGAAAGGGTTATATTGCTTTCAGTTGAACTCTCTATAGGTTCCCTTAAGGAGCATTTCCAATCAAAATCCCTATAATTAAGTTAAGGGTAAAACAAAATATAGGGGGAAAATCCCAATAGCTAAATTCTAGTTACTGGATCTACTCAATTTTCAAATGAAAACATTTTGAGTGACAAATTACAAAAAAAATCTGTAACTAGAAACTATATGAAAATTAAATGTAAACTTGTCTAAAATGTAGAGTTTCCTTCTGAAAAGAAGTGTACTGGAACATCAGGCGAGCCAGGCTAGAACATTTTGACAGTGGAGAGCAACCCCAAGTCTGTGGGAGGAGAACACAACATTTCTCAGCATGGCAGAAATGAATAAAGGAGCCATAATTACTTTCTCAGGAGCTCTGGTAGCGTAATGGTTACAAATCGGGCTGCAAACCACAAGGTTAGCAGTTCAAAACTACCAGGTGCTCCGCAGGAGAAAGATGAGGCTTTCTGCTCCTGTAAAGATTTACAGCCTCGGAAACCCTGTTTAGGGTCGTGGCTATGGGTCAGAACTGACTCGACAGCACATAACAACAACAATTACTTTTTCAGAGTTCTGATCTGCAAATTTCAATATATGATTTGAGAATCAGATCCATTAGGTTCAATCTAGTCTTTGGGCATTGTCTGTGTGAAGGAAGTACACTATAATTTAGGCCTAGTCTCTGGAATGATGAGAAAGATTTTGAGTCTAGGGAGCTAATATCTGCCCTTTCTACCAATGTGGGGGAAGTGAAATGACTGGCACATACAGTGTAAGTGGCACGAATGGCCAACCCCATGGCTATTAACAAGCACTCTCTTTATAGTCCTGAAGGAGGTCTGAATCATTAGGGTGCGAATTTCTACAAGAGGAAACCTCTTTTACATTAGGCAAACACATGTCCAGTGTAACTTCTTGCTCACTCACCACTACTTTCCCCATTATATTTTCGACAATTTCTGAATATAGTCTTCATATCATTTACAAATTCTTCCTTGGTACAGTATAAACCTCCATTTAGTTTCTTCTCCATACTTGAAATATCCATAGGGACCTAGAAAAGAACACAAAATGATTTGATGATTGAGGCTAAAACAATCTCTTAGTTCCTGTGAAGTTAAGGCATTATGCCCAAGAGCCTGCAGTACACCCCAACCACCCAGATTTTCTAAAAAAAGTTAAACAAAGGCAGACAAAATAACAATAAAAACCAAGAAAGATATATAGAGTACAACAGATATAATCAGAAAGGGAGCCTGTACCTTAATAATCTGGTAATAGTTGGGGGCGTAAGATTCATCCACAGGTTCCAAAAAGGGCCAGGAATCCTTGTGAGCCTTTACTACATCTAGAACTGAAAGCAAAGGAGAAACTAACTTCATACATTCACACAGGAACACTTATATCAGAAACATAGTAGTTGAGTATGGATACTGACCTTTATACATGGCAGTGAAATCATCATCCAACTCAAAGCTATAAATTATAATAAAATAAAAATTAATAGCAACTCTGAGCACTTTCTTTTCTAAGTTCTCCTAGTTCGATCAGTTACACAGATGACATAACTGACAGTTGAAATATTCCCAATAGTTTATTAAGTAAGTCTGTAGCAATGATAACACTCCTTTATAAATATGAAGATGAGGGATTGTATACCCTCACAAAAATGAACTAAATTTCCTCATCTAAAAAATCAAAGGGTGGCCTAGATAACCCAGAATTGAATCTATGATTCAACAATGTGAATTATTTAACAGCATATTCCTTCCCTTTTGCACTTTTGTCCAGTAGTTTACTTCTGTGTCATTTTTACACTATAATGTTGCTCTGATTTCATTAAAGGACTGGGGAAGTAGATCTTGGTGAAAACCATCACTGAGATACCACAGAAGGAAATAAGACTGTGTGTGAGAGAGAAGAGACTGGACCAGTGCGCGTGCGTGCATGTGCAGAGTCAAAGTGCTTCTATGAAAAAAATTAAGTAAAATAACATGCAGAAAAGTAAGCCCTATTGTCATAAACGTGCAACACGGAATAATGCACACACAGAAAAAAATATCAGATTCGTAACATTATAAGGCAATAAGCTCTAACCTGAATCCAAACCCTACCTTCTGCATGAGAATTTTTACATGTATGCATTTTTCTGTGTGTGCATTTATGGCAGTGGAGTTTCATGTGGGCTTTTTGGGTATACTGCCCCATCCACTACCTTGAAAAGGCAATACCATTGCCTACTACACAAGGTTGTTACGGATTAAATGAGAAATAAGTGTAGCACAATGTCCGAGTGGTAATAAACGTTACCATCTACTGTTGTTTTTAAACACTCACAGGTCTTTAGTCCTTTTTTCTTCCCTCATGGGGGAATTAGGGTCCAGATGTGAAAGTTCTGGAGGCAGCTCTTTCCCTTGAGCCAGTAGCCATGCCCGTTCTTCCCTGAGCTTTCTCCTCTTAGCTCGATCTACAATGAACATAAAATATTATACATAACAATTAGATGTTTAGTATGGAGAAAGAAAAAACAGGTCACAATAGCACTACACCATGGAATTATTTTTGCTCCATATGTAACCTTTCTTTTCAGTAGTTAGGCTATTTCTGTAGAAAGTTGAATGAAAATTATCCTTCTCTGCCTATCGCAGGCATTTTTTTTTAACCTTTGTCTCAAGAACACAACAGTGCTTTTTTAGGATCAGACACACAGAGCTCTCAGGGTTTTAAAGTGACATACATGCACAACAATGATCTTTGTTTTCCACACCCAATGCTGGGAGCACATCCCTGCCATGGTAGTGGAAGTGGCAAGTTTAGCGGGAAAAGGGAAAGACGCCAGCTAGAATTGGCTAGGAGGGAGGGACAATTTTTTTTCAGCCTCATACAGATGTCCATGTGAAATACATTTGGCATTCCAATTCTCAGGCACTCGTGTGAGCAGAGAACATGGTCAGGAGTAAAGAAAAGAGGAAAAGGGGATGAAGAGAAACAGTAATATCAGACACTAAGATCAGAATCTGGAATTAGAGCAGTGAGGGCAAATCGTTTAATTTGTGTTCCTCAAGGGATAGGCTTGGTGCCATCTTGGCAGATGATTAAATTAAGAATTAAATTGAGAATCTTGCCATGGAAAGATGATTCAAATTTATCTGGTTGGGCCCTAAATTCAATTGCAAATGTCTTTAAAGAAAGACAGAAGCAGATATGACACCCAGAAAGGTCTTTTAAAGAAAGATTTTAAGATGCCAGCCTTGGAGGTTGGAGTTATGCAGCCACAAGCAAAGAATGCCTATGCCACTGGAAACTGGAAGATGCAAAGAGCAGATTCTACTTTTCATCCTTTATAGGAAGGAGCACAGCCCAAAGACAACCTGACTCTGGCCCATTGATACTGGTTTTAGATTTCTGCCTGCCAGAACTTTGACAGAATAGAATACATTCCTGATGTAAACCACTTAGTTTATGGTCATTTGCTACATCAGCTGCCAGAAACCAGTACAACTATCTTTACATATTTACTCAGTAAGGATGCTGGGCTAAAAGTCTTGGTTTCATTATCAGGGTTAATGATAAAACCCTAGATTGACTCATATTTTCTCTTAGCACCTTTAAGATACAATCCCATTTTCATTTAAATCCAAGTTGTTCCTGAGAAATTGGCTATTATAATTACAGATCAACCTTCAAGGTAATCTGCATTTCCCAAACCAGTTAAGTCACATGTTGTGTAATACAGTACCGTGTGTACATGTAAATTCATATAAATTTATATCTAAAGGGTCACTGAGAGTCAGAATTGACTCAACAACAACATATCATAGGCACTCAAGTCCTGTTGTGGCAATATAGAATAAGCGCTAAACCACAAGATCTGTGTGAACTGCAAGGTCGGTAGTTCAAACTTAACAGTTGCTTCTTGAGAACCCTATATAGGGTTGCTATGGGTTGGAACTGACTCATTGGCACTAACAATAACAAATTATGGTCATCAATCATATTACAGCTATGATAATTAAGTCACAAAATAAGAGTAATGTCTGTATAAGTTAAACAACATTACACAATAATGTATTTATTAAAAACAGAATCCTACTGAATAATGAAGAAAAGTTATTATTTTCTTGAATTTAAATCTAGCATTGGAAATAAGGTGCAGGTAAAACCATACAAGGGGTTCTATGCATAATATGGCCCAGGGTAAGTATGTTAAGAGTAGAGTACTTTCATTAGAACTAAATAGGGGTTAGTTAACAAGTTAGGCAACTGGGTACTACATAAAAATGGGAAGAAAATAGCTAGCCATCATTCCAGAATTATTTCATTTTAAAGCTAAAATATTATCTAAATTTTGTACTGAAATACTGCATTTAAAAAGTCTTAATATATTTATATAAATGTTAAGGTGTAGGCCAATAATTGATCAAGACTATCTAATCTCTATCGTGACTTATAAAGTTTAGGGAGTCCTAGTGTGGTGCTGCTTAAGGATAAGCAGTAAACTCAAGGTTGATTTGAATCACAAGGTTGGCATTTCTAACTCAGCAACTGCTCTTCAAAAACCCTGTATAGGATGGCTATGAGTTGGAACAGACTAGACAACACGTAATGACAACACGCTTACAAATACAACTGCTATCCAAGAAAATATCCTCTTTATTGCAGTGCTACAAATGAAAGAAAAATCTCATTATACCAAGACCAAGACCCGAACCTGGCTCTAAGACAGCTACTCTATCCTAGTAATACTAATGTCGATATTCTACATTTGTATAACATCACACAACAACAAAAACAACTCTCATTTGAAGCATTATTATTTGTATCTAAAATATTTCTGTGCAATTAGTTGACTGCAGTAACTCACTACTTTTTAAAAAAAATTCTACAAGGAGGATATGGAATCCTCCTGGTGTGGTGGCATAGAGGTTAAGTACTTGAATGCAAGGTCAGTTTAAACAGCCATTCCTTGGGAACCCTATACACGGGTTGCTATGATGTCACAACTGACTCAATGGCATGTGGGAAATAGTAGAGATCTTAGCAACAAGCAAGAATGACAAATACAAGACTTTTATGAGGAGTGCTGGGTCAATGAGACTGCTGGATAAAAATATACGAGCCGGAAGACAACTCACAAGGTATTAAATAGGCACTACCAGAAGTAGCTTAAGGAGCTCTGGTAGCGTAGTGGTTACGAATGGGGCTGCGAGCCTTAGGGTCAGCAGTTCGAAACTACCAGCTGTTCCCTGGGAGAAAGATGAGGCTTTCTGCTCCCGTAAAGATTTACAGCCTCGGAAACCCTGTACAGGGTCGCTATGAGTTAGAACCGACTCCATGGCATGTAACAATAACAACAACAACAACAATCAGAAGTAGCTTCATGAGGGTACCTGGCCTGAATCAGCATTGGGCTCAGGTTGGCTACTCCATGAACACACCTCATTCGGGATTTGGGACTGCATAGGAAGCACACATACATACCTTCCACTGCCTTGACCTTTTCCTCCAACTCCCGTTTCCTCTCTTCCTTCAGCATCTGTTCCTGCTCCTTCTTCTGGACCGCTAAAAGAATCTGACGTTCTTCTTCTTCTTCTTTGCGCTTCTGTTTTTCTATTCTGGTAAGCATAGGAGTTTCCTATGAGAGGCCAATAAGTTTATCAAGTCAATACACATAATACAAGATCAGTTCTTTATCCTGAATAAAACTCAAATTAATGAATTTAGTCTTGTCTAAGAATTATACCGGACAAGAGAATTCTGAATATAAATGCAAGCTGATTGCATCATCGCTGGGTGTGTAAATATGTTGTTGTTGCTGCTAAGTATTGAGAATACATTTCCTCCTCCTATGCATACTATGCAAACCTGGTGTAGTGCTGTAGTTAATGTGCTAGATTGCAAGGATGGTTTGACCTCAAGGTTCAAGTTCACCAGTCGCTCCTTGGAAACCAACTTGACAGCACTTAGCTACAACATGTACATTGTGGTTTAAAAAAAATTCTACGTAAGATAAAAATGACAATGATAACATGAAAGGCAGTGAGTGCAGACAGAATTAAGGTGAAAAGGATAAGGAGAATCCATGAATTGTTGAAATGGTGTGTCTTTGGCTGAGTATAATTTCCTAAAATGATAAAAAATTAAAAATGAAAACCAATCATTGCTATCCCAATATATTACACTGCGTATTTTCGAATTTAACTAGTTTGAATGTAACTGTTTAGTCCAGAACTGAAGTTATTCATTTTAACTTTTGCCATCAACTTTTGTTCTGATGAGAAAGCCAAAACTTTAAAATTGTTTTGAGGAGATAATACTGGTTGTTTTCATAAGAGAACATCTTTTAAGTTGTAGAGACAAAAGAATGAATCACATGCCATCAAAGGTACTAGAATTCAAGTTGTTGTTTTAGTTGTTAATTGCTGTCGATTTGATTCCAACCCATAGCGACCCTGCATAGGGTTTCCACGGAGCAGCTGGTGAGCTTGAACCACCGACCTTGCAATTAAAATGACTTTGCAGTCTAACGCGTTAGCCCACAGCGTCAAACCAGAAGTCCATGTTACCCCCACAGAAAAGATGTAGTTCAATCATTCAATTTTAGGTAAAATCTAATCAGGAATTAGATTCACTATGCTTTATTTAAGTAACAGATCTTTTTAAGCAGGTGTGGCATTGTGGGTTAATGCACTGGACTGTGAGGTCAGTTTCAATCACAAGGTCTGATGTTCATGCTCAACAGCTACTCTTAAAAACAACATGACGGCTGGACCTCAAGGTCAGTTTGAACGGCAAGGTTGGTAGTTCAAACCCACCAGCCACTTTTCAGAAAACCTATACATGGTTGCTATGGGTTGGAACCAACATCACAGCACTTAAACAACAACGTGATGACTGGAATTGTGGTTGCCTTGGAGGGCCACACAAAATGATTTCACGAGACTTATTTGTACTGGGGAGTCCTGATGTGGCGCTGTGGGTTAATGCGCCCTACTGCAAAGCCGTTTGAACTGCAGGGTTGGCAGCTGCTCCTTGGAAACCTATAGAAGATCGCTATGGGTTAAAAGCAACTCGATGGCACTGAACAATAACAACAACATTTATACTGGACATTCCCTATCCTTGGGGTAAATGCTGCCCTTTTGATCTCAAATGGTTGACTATTCTATCATGTCTGTACCTCACCTGAGGGGACTAAGGGTCCTAATCATACGGCTCTACCAGTTTCTAACTGACTAGTAAGCTTGATCTTCATTATTCTGAGTTTTGTTCCACATTTCCTTCCACTCTACCCAGGACCATCTAATGTGATCCCTTTTAGAGCCGTTGGGAGTGGTAGCCAAGTACCACCTGGTTCTTCTGGTTTCTACGATAGTGACTTGTAAAGACTTTATTATCAGCAAAGTAAGTATCTTGAATGAAAAGCAAAGTAAAGATGAATAACAACCCAAGTACATGACTGAACATGTAACACATAACATACTGAATACATAGAATGCTATCACTATAACATAATTTAAAGAAAGGTCCCTAAATTCTTCTTTACCTTGTACTCAAAACAGGCAGTTTAGCTACGCTAGATGTTGATTCTGAAATTGAGCTCTGACAAGGACAATTCCTCAGAAGATTGCTTGTCTGGGCATTGCTTACTAAACTTATATTTTAGTTATACAATGTACTTTTCTGTATATTCCCTGATACTATACACCATGTAATAATATTGTTGCTTTTGTTACATGCCCTTGAGTTGGTAGGACTCAGAGAGAACATATATAGGGTTTCTGAGGAGTAGCTGGTAGATCTGAACGGCCAATGTTGTAATTATTCTATAGTGCCACACCATGATAATGCATGCTTGCTTATTCCACCCCTACCCAAAGGACTCCTCAAAATAGATCTGACCGTGACAATGCGAATGGAGTAAAGCCCATGAAAGCAAAGCCCTCGGGACCTTCATTTGCTGATGGGGAACAAAATGAAGAGAAACAGCTGTAAACATCCAATGATAACTGGAACATGGATTGCACGAAGTACGAACCTAGGAAAATTGGAAATTGTCAAAACTGATACGGAATGCATAAACATCGATTATTTTAGGCATCAGTGAGCTGAAATGGACTGGTATTGGCCATTTTGAATCTGATGACCACATGGTTTACTACGCCGGAAATGACAAATTGAAGAAGAATGGTGTTGCATTTACTGTCAAATAGAACATATCCAGATCAGTCATGAGGTACAACGCTGTCTTTGATAGGATAATATTCAGTTAATACTGCTATTATTCAAATTTACGCACCAATCACTAAGGCCAGTGAGGATGAAACAGAAGAATTCTACCAACTTCTTCAATCTGAAATTGATCAAACATGCAATCAAGATGTATTGAACATTACTGGTGACTGGAAAGCAAAGGTTGGGAAAAAAGAGGAAGAAGGATCAGTAGTTGGAAAACAAGGCTTTGGTGATAGAAATGATGCTGGAGAACTCATGATAGAATTCTGCAAAACCAATGATTTGTTCATTTCAAATACCTTGTTCAGACAGCACAACAGATGACTATACACATGGACCTTACCAGATGGAATACACAGAAATCAAACTGACTACATCTGTGGAAAGAGACAATGGAAAAGCACCATATCATCAGTCAAAACAAGGCCAGAGGCAGACTGTGGAACAGACTATCAATTACTCATATGCTTCAAACTTGAGCTGAAGAAAATGCAAACAAGCACACGAGAGCCAAAACATGACTTTGAATATATCCCACCTGAATTTAAAGATCATCTGAAGAACAGATTTGACACATTAAACACTAAAGACTGGAGACCAGAGGAGTTGTGGGATGACATCAAGAACATCATACAGGAAGAAAGCAAAAAGTCATTAAGAAGACAAGAAAGAAGGAAAAGATCAAAGTGGATGTCCAGCGTAGAGCTACTAAAGCTAGTGGAAGAAATATGTACAAGAGCTGAACAGAAAATTTCAAAGGTCAGCTCAAGAAGACAAAGTCAAATATTACAATGAAATGTGCAAAGATCTGAAGTCAGAAAACGAAAAGGGAAGAACATGCTCAGCATTTCTCAAGCTGGAAGAACTGAAGAAAAAAATTCAAGCCTCAGCTTATTATTGAAGGATTCTCTGGGCAAATTATTGAATGATGCAGAAAGCATCAAAAGAAGATGGAAGGAATACACTACTTTTCCCCATATCTACTTTTCGTGATGTAGAAATAGATATGGGAAAAAGGAAAATAGATAATTACCTAAGTCATAAATCTGAATAGCTATATATTGTTTGCAAAAAACCTTGACAGAGATTTATTATTCTTAAGATGTTAGAGACATCTTATAAATCAAGTACCAGTAGTCTTTCACAGAACAAAAGGAACATTATTACACAATATAGAGAAGATTAATAAACTACCTAAATGATAAAAAAAATGAAAATAACTTCTTCACATACGAAATTGTTAAGATGATAAAAAGTATTATTGTTGTTGTTGTTGTTGTCAGGTGCCACGACTCATAGCGACCCCATGCACAGCAGAACGAAACAATGTCCGATCATGGGCCAACCTTACTATCGCTGCCACACTTGACGCCATCAATGATGCCACCTGGCTGATCTATCTCGTTGGGGGTCTTCCTCTTTTTCTCTGACCCTCTATCTTACCCAGCATGACATCCTTCTCCAGCGACTGTTCCCTCTTGACAATATGACATATGACAAAAGTATGAGAGACAAAGCTTAGCCATCCTGGCCTCCAAGAAGCTCTCTGGCTGCACTTCTTCCAAAACAGATCTATTGGTTCTTTTGGCAGTCCATGGCACTTTTAGTATTCTCCTCCAACACAACTCAAAGGCATCAATTCTTCTTCGATCTTCCTTATTCACTGTCCAGCTTTCATATCCATATGAGGTTATTGAAAATACCACGGCTTGGGTTAGGCACCCCTTAGTCCTCAAGCAGTGAAATGAACACTATCAATCTGTTGTGGCACACTCTGGAGGGCATGTTGCTATATGCATAAAGAATCTAAAGAGTGTAATTAGTGTAGCCATATCATCTTAAAAATACAAATAGTCAAACTTTTAAGTAGATTTAGACCAACTGACTTAAAATCGGGTCATGAAAAATAGCTGTTTCTGAGAAATACTGAAATGATATATGAAATTGCTCACAATGTTACATGAAAAATACAAAGTCAAAAAATGATATTCAATATAATCTCAGTTTTGTAATGCATGCACAGGAAAAATGTATAAAGCAAATATGTAAATTTGGAAGGAATAATGATCCTTGAACTTAGATTATTATGACTTCTAGGGTTTCCAACCCCCAAATCTCAGTCAAGCAACGCACTTTTCTGTGTTCCCTGACACTATACTCCACACAATAACGCTGTTGTTGAGAACCCCTTCCCCCCAAATAAGGGAAATGAACTAGTAACATGTTCCAAATGATTGAATTTTATTAACTTTTCCACTCCTCCACTATGTAATTACATATTCAGTGATCTGCATTAAAGCTTAAAATGTCAAAGCATCAAAAAGGTAAGAACTTGTGGATTTTAAGAAGTGACATTAAACTTTACTGTCGTTAAGCGCCCTCGAATTGTTACTGACTCAT